TTTCCCTTCTTCTCCCTCCACAACAACACACACACACACACACACACACACACACACACACATCTACTTCTCTAGTACATTATCGATATACCCCTTGGCAATATTGCGACGGGGCACATGGTTTACGGGGCGGCAGAAAAAGGGGCCGAAAGGGAAACATGGACGTTTCCCCTCTCTGTTTGTTTGGAGTTCTTGTTCTTATGGTAATCGTGTCGTTGAATCTGGGGTCTTCTTCTTTATCGTCTTTTTGTCTGGAGCTTTGGACTTATGGCGCTGGTGCATATCTAGCATTTTCTTGCAGCGTTCTTTCTCGGCCAAGGTTGTGGTGACTCTTAGAGGTCGCCGATGGGGGCGAGGGAAATGGCAGGGAGGCGCGGCCTATGAGCTACGTGGTTGGCAATGGGCTCGCTACTCCCTACTCGGTTTCTATTAACGGGAAGGTCTCCCGTTTCCCGTATATCCCCCTCCCCCCCCTTTTTTTTTCTTTTTTTATTGGAATATGCCAAACCATGTGGCCAAGCCTCGCGGGAAGTACCGAACGCGCAGCGACGGACAGTGTAGATGTTGTGGGAGATACTCCTTTCATTGGATATGTTATGTAGAGACCCGTTAAACTGCGTTGCGACTACTTGCGGCGCTTTGTGGGAAAGGAATTTACGTGGTAGTCTGCGAGCAGTGGGGAACGGATAATTAAAGACCGGGCAAAGTTATAACCGGGCCCCCGTGTTCGCCGAGCTCAAGCGGAAGAGCGGCGACAAAGATCGACCACTCGCTGATGCCGACCGACCTCGCGCTTGCGGGCCGCTACCTGCACGACGTCGAGCTCGCGGCGCTCCTGCAGGACATCGTCCAAGGCGGCGCCCTGCTGACCGTCGTGCTCGACTGCTGCCACTCGGGCGGCGCAATCCGGGGCGAGGACGACACCGACGCCGACCTTGCAGGCGTCCGAGGCGAGAAGTTAGCGTATCGGTCCGACCAGGCCGCGGAGCGCAGCGTGGCGCGCTGGGGCCTAAGTTTCGGTGGATGCAGGCGCCGGCTGACTTTGTCGTGCTGGCTGCCTGTCCCAATTAGAGAAGGCCAAGGAGATGAGCGAGATCCGACCCAGCGACGGAGTCGAGTTCTGGCACGGCCGGCTGACGTACTGGCTGCTGGATACGGTGCGCACTAGCCCGCTATGAGATGGCCGGCTCGCCCGGGAAGGACGAGCTGGACGGCAAGTTCGATAGCGTTGAGATTAATGGACAGCGGATCCCTTATGCGAATAACGAGGCGAACGAGTGACTTTTTAATTCCAAGCAAGAAAGGTTTATCTAAGATTAATCAACTACCGACTTTTCGGACGATGGTAACGCCCGAACGAAATATGTCCTTGGTCTGCCAGTCGCCGACATTCTCCTGGGCTTTGACAGTAAACCCATCGCGGGTCAGTGGCCGAAGCATGGCCAAGAGGTCGTCCAGCGAGTCCACGTCCCTCTCGGACCTGGACACCAGGACCTTGAAGAGGTCCACTACCGTCGTGTCCTTCTCCGCCTTCCACAGAGCATCGGGGGATGACGACCCCTAAGTCCTCGACCAACTTCCCCTCAGCAAGGATGGTGTGGAACGGCGAGGTGCCCTCCTTGGGGGAGATGATGCTGATACCGAACTCGGGCACGAAGTTTAAATCGTGCACCCGACTTTAAAATCCGCCTTGTTGGTTACCGTAACGCGGAACAGCCTCCGCTCGGGCACCTCGTATACGCCGTTCCGGCACGGAATGCCGTCGGCTGGGTAGATGAACTCGTCTTCGAAGTACTTGCTATCAGGCGCTGGCTGGACATCGATGGTGAAAAGGCTGGGGAGGTCGGCAGAGCGGAAGCCTGGATTCTCCAGATCCCTGAGCAGGTGGAAGCGCGCGAGGCGCTTAAAGCGGCGGACCAACTTCGGCATGCTGTCCTGAGCGTCCCATCGCAATTGGTGCAGTGTCTGCACGATCGCGCTCGTGAAGGTCCCCAGCCGGTCCGTTAGTTGGAACAGGCCCTTGCAGTCGACGACGATGGTGAACAGAGCATCATCACCAGCGCCCCCTTCCCCCTCGCCAGCAGTCGCAGCTGGGAGCAGCCGCCGGTATGTTGCGCCCAGCCCTGCTCGAACCGCCGCCACTGCTCTTCGTCGGCAGCAAGGAAGCAGACGGTGGCCTGCGCCTCCAGGGGCTGGATCTGCAGCACCGCAGGACAGCCCTCCCTGATCTGCTCCCGCCGCGAAGGAGGGTTAACTCCCGGGCCGTCGGCGAACGCCGTGTCCGGCATCCCTGTCCACACCCGCTCAACTTTAACGCGCGCCAGCACGTCCGACTCCGTCATACGCTTGCCGAGGTCGAACGTCAGCGGGAGAATCGCATACTCGGCCTTCTCCTTGACGCTAGAGGCCGCCGGCCAGGCCGATCTGCCTCTTGTCGATAGAGACGGTCTTTACCGGCACGGCATAAACCTAGGACCGGTGCTTGGGGCCGAAGAAGAAGCGGTCGTGGTCGCCAACGAGGTAGGGGGTCTGGTCCGGGACGGCGTTCTGGATCCTGGCGCAAACGCGGTCGTAAATGGCGGCCGAGCTGAGGCTTAGTGGGCTAGTACGCACCGTATCCAGCAACCAGAAGGTCAGCCGGCCGTGCCGGGACACCGTCCCATCCCTCTAAATATCGCTCATCTCCTTGGCTTTTTGGTAATCTAGGCATGCAGCCAGCACCACGAAGCCATCAGGCACCTCCATCCAATGCGCCTTATTGCCCCAATGCTCGATGCTCGCCTTGCTCAAAGGGAGGTCCTCGCCGGGGTCGGACTAGTACACCTGGTTGTCACCGCGCACCCCTTCTAGGATGTCGTCGTCGTTATCTTCGCTGCGGATGGCACCGCCTGAGTGGCAGCAGTCCGGCACCACCGTGAGTACGACGCCGACCTCGACAATATCCTGCAGCAGGGCGCCGAGCTCGACGTCGCGGAGGTACTTCCCGACGAGGGCTATATCTGGCGGCAGCAGGGAGTGGTCGATATCGTCGTTATTTTTCTTGAGTTTGGCTAACATCGTCGACGCCTGGCCGCCGTGACTGCAAGGGTCGAAGCGGGTATAATTAAAGGCTTGCCAAGATCGGGTTTGAACCGTGGAATACAATAAGTACGGTCACCTTTAAATATTGGTAAATACAAACCAACAGGTTTTGTAGGCGGCGAATCAGGAGGTTAATCTGTTCTATGAATAGCGACGGTGCGAAGGCTAGGGTAGAGAAAGGCTCCGTTTACTATCCCGACAATAACGTACAAGAAGTGCCAGCAGCGGTAGCGAATACAACATATGTACTGAAGAACCAACCCAGAGTTTTTATTTCCCAGGGTTCAGAAGAACCTCCGTACAATTCGTGTCGAACCGGAGGTTCCAGAGGCGGACCAAGGCCATGAACTTCTCGGTCGCAGGGAGCTCGCGCTCCCGACCAAAGAGGGTTAAGACGAACTCGACGCCGGCGTTGCTGCCGAGCTCGGAGTCCCTGCGCTTAGAAGATTGGAGCATGGGGGCCTCGCAGCGCTTGAGCAGCTTGCGGAGCTTGTCGGTTAGGCGGTCGCCCGAGCCGATGAAGTCCTCAACCATTTTACGGACCTCCTCCCGGCGGATGGACGGGATGATTTCGTCGGCGCGCTTGACCTTGCCCGAGATCTGGATGACTGTCGCCAGGGTCATTTTCGAAGCTGCTAGGGGTAGCGCCGTGGCTGCTGCCAGAAGGTAGTCCTTCGTCGGAATTGCTGCGCGGGGTGGCGGCCGGCGATAAGGCGGGGGCGTCGGCCGTCGATGCCGCTGGCGATGTGGAGCTTTCCGCATTAGCCTACGAGGGTTCGGCATCGTCCGGGCGAGTTTGGCTCACCGGTACCGAACGAGGCGAACGGACCGCATCTATGTCGCCAGTTAGGTCCTTGTTCGTCGGTTATCTAGGGTGGCTGCTTACCAGCTGTACGTTGTCGCTTGAGCTCCGCAAGCTCGGCCCCCTGTTTATCAAGTTTCGCTAACAGCTCGGCCACGACCGGGTCTTGGTTCGCTTGCTCCTCGATCTGCTGCTGCTCTCCTGGCCCACCGGTCCTGGATGTGCGATTCTGTCGCTTAAGCCTCTGAATCTCGGCCTCCAACTCCCTGGCCTGATCTTGCTCAGCGCGCAGCTCGGCGCGCAGTTCGGCGCGCAGTTCTTCAAGTGCAGCTTTCCGCCGGTCGTTTTCGGCTCGCAACCTTAAGAGAGCGGCGACCTCGGACCTTTCAGACGGCTCCTCTTTGGAAATGCCATTGAACGGCAATCAAACCTGCTTGAGGACATCAGGGAGAACAAGTCGGGCTTCCGGAGACTTTAAAAGACGCGACAGTTGCGTTGTGAGTTGCTCACGCTCACGAGCCCCGTGTCGAGCTGTATGGCCTCGAGATGGGTCGTCCTTAGCCTGCAGAGGCACAGAGGTGGCGGAGACATCGTCTGTCGGTTTCAAAGCACCTTTCTTGCGTAAATACTCCACAACCGATTCGGGAGCGTTCTTCAAATCGTCATCATCCAAGGTGACGACGTACTTCTTGTTTGACATTGCGCCGTGACTGACCCACTCATGGAGCGACTGAGGCTTGGTGGGTCAAAGAAAGACCGATGCGATGGCGGGGCGCACGGTCGCCTTTAATGAGAGGCGGGCGCGTTGGTTGCTGCGACTTGAGGTGGCGCGGGTAAATTTCGGGGTCTGGACCGACAACCGCTGACGTATGACTGACGTGCCTTGTCACCTGCCCTGTTCAGATTGGGGTAAGACAACATCCCCACGCGTGCTATCGCGTATCGTTGCGCGTTTCGTTTCGCGTAAACTTGGTTGGTGCTTGGGAACAAATAAATGATACATGCGTAAATCACAGCATAAATGACGAATTAGTTCGCGTTTTACCTTCATCGAGCCCGTTTTAGGAGGGCCGGCTTCTCTGCTCAACGACTACGACCTTGGACAGCTGACGCCCGACGCCGTCGCGGCGCACAAGAAACTTGCCTCAAACCCAAAGCTACACGTTTTTAGCTATTCGGAAATCGACATGTGATACTGGGGTCCCAGGCCGCAGGCGACAGTTAACGCATTTTTATCCGGCGATGACCGAACAGCGTATGAACGGTTTTTGAAATTCGCTGAATCCAACCGGAGAGCTGAAGACGACGCGGGCGTATAGATCGCAAATTATATGAAACATGGCTAGGCCCGGTGCTCAGAAGGCGGGGAGGACGGAGGCTTAGCCGCGGTGTCCGGTTTCCGGAGGCCGCCTGGCTGTGCCGGTTACTAGAACGGAGAGGGCGCCACAAGATTGGGTGAGGACGCATTCCGGATGAGCGTAAGGTCGGGTGACTCACACATCCGGCAAATAGAGGGGGCCAGACGTCCGCCCGGCAAGGGTGGCTTAAGGGACAAAGCCGTATCCATTGGTAGAGTTGCCAGGCCTTGGTTGGCCAGCCCTTACAAACAGGGCCTACTTTCCGAGCATGTTTCAGGGCAGCGACCACAATTGCCAATCGTCTTCGTCATTCCGCACGTAGTGCTTCATGCAGGTCTGAGCCGTCATCAGTACGACGTTGAGCTCGTAGTGTCCACCCAGAACGCGCCCCCGCCAACGAGGTGATGGTTGTACACACAGGCGACGCGTCCAAATGCGGGCACGCCTGGCTTTTAAATTCCCGTTGCTGATGCCTTGAAGCATGAAGGCCGTTTCCCCTTCTCTGTTCCGCTTCAGTTTTCAACCCATTAAAACATCGCGACATTTGAGCCGTCAAGCAAAGCCAAAGATGGCATCCCGTTTTACCCGCATCATGTCTTCCCAGCAAGGCAAAGTGTTGCTGCCCTGCCGTATCCCTGGGGGCTACACGCAGGTTGGGGTACGTCTCCCGGCCACACGAACACAGGGTCCCAGAGACAATTGCCACAAACTGAGAAACGAAGTGAGCTTCGCATATCGAAGGGTGGAAGCACCGAAGGAAAGACAACCAACCCACAGATGGTGAGTTTCTAGTGCCAGAGTGCGCTGGCCAGGCGGTGATTGACCCGTTGCGCAGGAAGACGAGAGCCGGGAAGACGGGCATGAGCATCATTGCTCTGGGGGTTCGGATGACGGCAATGCGGCCGGCGAGTCGGGCAGTGCCTCCAAGTAGCGTCACGACCCGGGTGAAGAAGCTGAGCAAAGGGAACGGTGGTTAATGGATGGAACGTGATGGAGATAGATAGTGGTGTTTTGAAATTACAGCGTCCAGGTTTTGTGGCATCCGTCGAGAACCATGAAGTTCCCAGACTGTACCGATAGTGCATCTTTACCGTCACCCTTAATGAGTATCTCTTCTGTGCAAAAGTTAACAGACGCCTCTGCCGCCTTTCCATCGTAGCGCGTGAAATGCGCTGTGAACGTGCCAGACAGGTCTTCCCGCAGGGCCACGGTTGCCTTTAGCTTCGTCTTTTCCTTCTTTTCCTTCCGGATCCCGCATATCCAAAGCGCCACTAGATCCACGCGTACGCGTGGTCCGGGCAGGTAGCCGCACAACTGCATCCTGTCCTCCCCTATATGGTCGAATTTGCTCTCCATCATTACCGATCTGCTGCACGGCAAGCGTGTGCCAGGCGCGACTATTTGCACGTAGCCATCCCAGGTGTTGATTCCAATGGACGCAGGAGACGTATCGTGTATCGGTATTGCAAGGGTGGACGGTCGCTGTTGGTTTTTGATTATGGGTGGGAGCGATATCCCATCTTGGGCCGGCTTCGTAGAGGAGTAGGAGGCTCGCCGGTTCCCAACTTGACCAGCGAGGCATGACCTCGCCCAGACTGCCTTGAAGGGAGTTGTCGAGTTTGGCAGTCGAACAGGAGGACGACGAGGCAGATTGGCAGCCGTAGAACCCAAGGGCCTTGTTTGCCGGAGACGAACCGTGACTTGATTCTTAACCCGGCCTTGAAGGTATGTCGTGAGCAGAAACAAACTGCGCATCTTTGTTAGCATGCGTCTCACCACGGCCGTGAACTGGTGGACCTACGAGACTCTGTTGGAACCCATTTCGCAAATACTGCGATTGAGGTAGAGGAGATAGGAGCGGGGCAATGCTGCAAGTGTTATCCACTTTTCTGCACCACAAGTGTGGCGTGGAATCATTGTGGCCGTGCCGTTGTAGCTGTCTCTCCTTGACGATGGACCCACTACGGTAGCGTTTGACGCATACTGCGAGATTGGCCTATCAAGTTGGCTCACAACACGTGCCTGCAGACAGAGAGCCGGGCCGTCTGGTGATTGAGCTCGTGCGGTCGGATTACGTTATCATGTCGCCCAACTGTGGGCCTTGCCTCTTCGGCTCCTCCGGGTATCGCTCTGCGTATTCGGCCCTCCTTTGCGGGCCGTTGTGCTGCCGCCTCCAACCCCTGCAGGTTCACGGCCTCACTGTCTTCCTTCAGCTTCGGCAACGCACCTTATCCTTCTCCAAATCGTTTGAAAAGGCGGGAACCTGGGCGTTGACAAAGCGCGCAAGGTTTGGATCTCGTCGCCGCACTGGCTGGCGTTCTGGCCGTAGCGAGCCAGCCGGCGCTGGCGTTTTGCCGACATTCCGGCGGCTGGCGTGTCGGCAGGGTGTTTGTTGTTGGTGCAGTCGGAGAGGTGCTACAGGCGGCACGAGAGGCCGTCGGCCTTGCTCGCGATGAAGAGGCCAACGCCGTCATGCTAGCGGCGGAGCTCGGCGTAGAATTCGTCCTCGACTTTCTTCAGCGCGGTGTCCTGGTCGCCAGGGATCGCGATGGCGCGGTGCTGGCAGCCGCCCTTCAATGGACGTCAATGTCGGATCCCAGCAGCGGATCGGTCCTTGTGGAGGAACTTCGGGGGCATGGCTACGACGAAGGTGGAACCCCAGCGTGCATGGAGCTAACCTTGGCGCGTGCGGGTATCCCTGAATGGCGGAAACGCAGAAGTTGCGCGGCTTTGGCTCGTGGGTCGATTGATTCCCAACAAGCCACGTTGTTGCTGCGCCAATACCGACACCGCACTCCATCCTACGACCAGTGTTTCTGTTTCGCAATTGCACAGAATTCCCGCCACCAGACTCTACCGCGCCGCCCGCGTATTCGACAGCGCCGTTCGTTAGGCGGCCACGTAGGCATCCTCTCTACATATTTTTGCGCTCTTATTTCCGTTCATCCTTGTCAGAAGTGCGCTTTTCGTGCAGCCATACCAAAGTGTGCTAGGCTTCTTTTTTCCGAAGCACCAGCATCCTTACTTGCTCGAGTTGCCCTCGTGTGGCAGGTTCATCGGCTGCGGGGTATCCCCAATCTTGCAAATCGCGCGCGGGGAAATTCTCCTCCGAGCTGACCACCACCTACCCCAGCCCTTCTTTAAACATTGGCGGCTAAAGGCTGGCCGACATCACCCCGGATCAAACGCGCACCCATGGCGCGCTGCTACCCAATCGCTCCCACGGCAGCAAGGCTGGTCTCGAACGCCTTCTCAACCTAAATACCTCCCCAAATGCCCCTTTCTCTAAATCCTCAGTCTGTGCCGATGGCCAGCCATGGCGACACCGCAGACCCAAAAGAGACGACGCGCCGACGAGCCCTTGCGAGACCCCCCATCGAAGAAGAGGCGACAGGACGACAGAGATCCCGACGACTATCTCGTCACCTGGCGATACCCGCCCGAATTCTGGGACCGACTCTCCAAGATTCCACTGATCGTCGACGCTCTAGACGAGCTCGAACGGCGAAACAAGCGACTCTCCTCTCCACCAAAGCACTGTGTGCCGCGGCGCTTCGGAGCACCAGACCTCGTGCCAGTCACACGAGCGCTTGCTCGATTTGCAAGTGACGGCGGCCCAGACTTGTGTGACCTCCGAGGGTATCGCGAGCCGATTGACCGCCGACCAGCCAACAGCATGAGCTCCTCACGAGGACGGGCGACTGCGTCCACCAATCCAACAACTCTTACGTCGACATCGGGAACGACCAAATCCAAGAAATCCATCACAGTTTATCACCCCGCGTTCGACCAGCATTTGACCGACCATTCCATCCACCCACTACGCAAATCGCGAAAGCCAAGGGAGGACGATCGAAGGGACATAACGGAGGCACTGGCAGTCCCAAGGCCGTCACTATCACCATCCAAGTTCTCTGATGGCGCATTTGAGGAATTCGAGAACGCTACCCTCGAAGCCAAGGACGAGGAGGCTGTCAAAGCTAATGTTATCCCCACCATCGCCGGCGCTCGGCACGCCGAACACCCATGCGCCAGAGATACGGTGTTTGGAAATCTCGACCCACTTACGGACGGCTGTATAGCGCGGGCCAAGCCAGACCTCTACTACGGCGCACATCCCGAAGACCTCGATCGATCCATCCGCGACGAGCTCGGCCATCACATCATCCCATCCACCATGGAAGACAAACCTTTGGTGCCCAACTTCTTCACAGAAATCAAAGGACCGGATGGGTCGGCAGCCGTGATGCAGAGACAAGCGCGCTACGACGGGGCGATTGGAGCCCGCGGCATACACAGCCTGCAGAACTACGGCAATGACGAGCCTGTCTACGATGGGAGACCCTACACATTCAGCTCGACCTACCACGGCGGGACCGGGACTCTTCAGCTATACACGCACCACATGACCGAGCCGACCACTCCCGGAGGACGCCCGGAGTACCACATGACTCAACTGAGGTCATTCGGCATGACGGACAGTCGCGAGACCTTTGTCCAAGGCGCCACCGCGTTCAGGAACGCCCGCGACGTGGCGAAGCAGTACCGGGACAGCTTTATTCGAGCAGCAAACGAAAGAGCACGGCAACCTGGTGAGAGAGACTCAGCAGCAGCAGGCACAACGGTGATACAGCAGGATGAAGGCTCGAGTCCTGATACATTCGTGGACTGTGACGAGTTCCCTTCAACACTCGACGTCCATGAGGAAGCGTCTGGTCCGCATCCGCAACAGAGCTTTGTTGGTGTTGACGACCACATTCCGCACCAAGCCATTCACAAAGAACCCCGTTTTCCCCAATATCTTGTCGATGATGACGGCGATCAGCAAGACGACAGCCAGTCACCCGTGCCGTTTGACACTCTCCAAGACCTGGAGGCAAGCGTCGAGACGAGCTTCACGTCAAGCTTTGCCTCGAGCTTCCCGTCATCGAGCCACCCCCCCGCCCGTGGTCACGGATCCCATTCTAAGCGCCCTAGGAATTCACGAAGTCCACCATTAGAACCCCACATTGCAGAAGATCACCACAAGGCTGGACCTGCACGCCCCAGCAAAAAGAAAACCAAAAACAAGGCACCTAGCTCAGGAGGAGCAGAAGGGAACGATGCTGGTTGTGAATGGAATGCGGGCATGGCGAGGTGGGAGTATTGGGACGAAACGCAACAAGCCATGCTGTATTGGAATGGCAAGAAATGGCGTCGGGTAGAAGAGGAATAGCTCGAGCTGGACGGAGCCGAAAACTTGCCTCCTAGAGGTTCTTTCTCACGTTGCCTTCCTCCATCCCGCTCGTGCCACCGAAGACAGAAAAGTCGGAAGAATCCCACCCATGGGGCAACCCTCTCCCGGGTCGGCGACGAGGTCGTGCTGGTGCTGGGGGCGCGAACACCTTTTATTATGAGGAAGAGGAAGACGCGCAGCGGTGGCGGGCAGGGCAAATTCTACGAGCTTGCCAGGGTATGCTACACCCACGGGATCATGAATAGGGAAGCACCGAGTGCCGGCCCGGACGCCACGGAGGAGCTTGTCTTCGTGCGGCCTCTCTGAGCGGCAGGATGCACACTCAAACTTGTGCACTGCGGCGCCCAATCGAAGACCCCCATTTCTGCATCGCACTTCCTGCCAACGCAGCAGCACAGCAGCGGGTTGCATATCCCTGCCCACACCAGCCTGGCTAGACTCGTTGGCAATCATGGGCTCCGCAACCACTCATTTCGCTTTGTTGTGCATATGCGGGAGGCCCTCCAATACTGTGGCTAGCCACACAGTGCTGCAGGGGATTCTACTGTCCTGCACGAGCACCGAGGCTCCCAGCCTGCCCTATTTCCTGTGGCAGACAGGTCGTTCAAGGCGCACGTGCAGGCACCTAGACGAGCCGCATATTGACGCTATTCTAGAACCAGCCACTATATCCAGTCGCCTCCAGTGGGCGGCGTTGGCAGCCTTGCGAACGGCTGGCAATGAAAATAGAAGCTCGCTCTTTGCCTCTGCGGACCGATGCGGAATACAGCCCAACACGTCGTCGTACTACGGTCTAAGTGTTGACGTTGGCGGCTACGTCGAGCTAGAGCCGCGGAGGTGGCGCTAAGCTGTGGGCGTGAGGGTGTGCGAAGACCTGGGTGGCGGCAGAGCGGCGAGCCGGCTCTCGTCGTCAGTTTGGATGTCTGAGTGCCTTTTAATATGCGTTTATTTCCATCATTCCGGGTCAGTACTTCGGGATGCTGGGTGCAGGCAAGCCGCAAGTGGCCCGAAGGCGCTTTCTCAAATCAATATGCCTTGAGGAACGAAAGGCTCTTAGAGGACGGGCGCGCGAGAGAAAAGAGAGGGGCTGCCAAAAACCAAAAAACCACTCGGAAATCACGTTGTCACGTGACAGACTCGTTGAATGCCTTGAGGAACGAAAGGTCTTTCTGCCCCACCCAAAACCAAACCCAAAAAAAAGAACCCAACCCGATTACGTAATCCCAGCCAATCATAATTCTTCGTGCCTTGAGGAACGAAAGGCTCTTAGAGGACGGGCGCGGGGGAAAAAGCGGGGCTCGACCAAACCAACTGCCACAATTTTCACGTGATTTGAAGCGTGACTTTTTCGCTCTCTGCCAATCAAAAATCGCGTTTTTTTCAAAAAAAAAAACCACGTGACTAACTCGTTAGAATTTAAATTGGGCGACGGACCAGGAGGCCAGCACGCCCACCGAAAAGGGGCGCGCAGGGACCACACGTGACCCGCCCCCTTGCCGCCATAACAAACACACGGAGGGGGTTGATAAGGCTCCCCACTCACTGGCATTCCGGTCCCATTGGGGGAAGAAGGCCAGGAATCAGCCGCTAGAGAGCGACTGTAACGCTGACCCGAGCCCGTATCTACCTAATAAACTGCCTGCTGAGGAGTTTGTGACGCCACCTAATCGCCTTTCTCTTACTGAAACGCCAAACGTTACGCCACATAATGTGCTTTCATTTTGGGACGTAACCTACGCTGTTATTTTTTCCTCCTCTTCCTTTTTTTTTCTTTTTTTTTCTTTTCAATCTTCTCCCGACCAGCCCCATAACTCCGCTGCCCGAATCGTCTCCTCGCTCAATTGCTCCAGCCTCTGTTCCGCCTGCGCCATCTCCTCTGGCACAGTATTGCCCACAAAGTCCTGCTCCCGCGCCTTGGACAGGAGCGTGATGCCGTCCAGCGTCCTGCACCGCGACAGCTGCACGTACAGGCTGTATGGGTCGCACGTGCTCGGAACCGCCTGCCCGCCGATGTTGGTCGTCCTTGTCCCGCGCAGTTCCAGCCCCACCCGGTCTAGCGTTTTTCCCTGCACCTTGTAGTCCGTGCACGCAAAGGCTGCTGCGCAGGGCAGCCCTCTGCGGGAGACGTCGTGCTGTTGCCAGGGCCGTTTTCTTTAACACTCTATCTTAATACTGATGGGCGTCAGGAGCACGGTGCCCGGTGGCATACCGACGAAGCGAAAGTCCCTCGTCGTTTCCGACGCTAGCAGTATCCCCGCCGGCGGGCCGAAGTGGAGGAAAGTATCAGCGTTAACCCGATGGCCCCGATGCGCCCTGTCTGGGACGACATCCACCGCCGTGTAACTGGCGCCGTTGACCAGCTTAAAACCTTGGTGGGTGTTCTGGTTCACAACGACGGGCATGCCGGGAACGAACATGAAAACGGCAGTCACCGGGATTGCGCTATCGTCTCCATGACTCATAATCATAAGCGCTTCCTCCTCCGTCGGTTCGCTATTTTTCCACTTGTGCTCGGATACAAATATGCGGAGCGGCGCCTGCCGTTGCCTCTGGAAAGCGATCGTCGCCTCGATGTTCAGGTTCCACCGGTTCCTATTGAGCGGCGTCACCACTGTGATGCCCGACTCCCACGGGATGCGCCTGCCTTCCTGGTAGCAGGTGCTGTTCAGGTACTCGACGTCCGACCGGTCCTGCGCTCCTTGTCGAATGCGCGTTAGCAGCCCCCGTAGTCGTGGATTTTGCGCGGCACGGACTTGCTCTTTCAGCATCATCACCGTGGTAAACCTCCTCCACAGGGCGTGAGCCACGTCGTGTTGTCGCCGCTGCTCCGGACCGAACCCATAATCCCTCTCCCACGGAATAATCGAGCTGGGGAGCAGAATCGATCTCTCCTGCACGGGACGAAACTAATGGAAGTCCCCGCAAAAGACGACCACCGGGATGCCGCCGAAGTCCCGGCTGGACTCCCGGAGCCTGCAGAGCTGTTCGTTGACGGCGTATAGCGTCCGCACGCCCAGCATGCTGACCTCGTCTATAATCAGGACGTCCTTTTCTTGCCAGTCCATCTTGGTCTGCCCGTCGATTCGGAGAGCTGATAAGCCGGACGACGTAAAGCCGTCTGGGTCTCCGGCCCGGCTGGCCCTGGGGAACGTCTCTTTCGAAAACTTGCAAGCGGAATGGATGGTAATTCCGTCGATATTCGCGGCCGCTGTGCCGGACGTCGCCGTCACTAGCAGGCGATGGGATTGTGCCGTACGTCGGAACAGCTCGGCAACGCCCGCGATGACGCGCGACTTCCCGGTGCCGCCTTCGCCTCCGACGAACAAGCAAAGCTGGGGGGTACCGCTCTCATCGCGGCGTACTTGGTCAAGCTGGCGGCAGATAAGCCAGAGGGCGATCCTCTGTCTTCGGTTAAGCGTCAGAGACTCGGCCACCTGCCTCCCCACTTCACAGAACGATGTGGACGGCCCGAACCGGATTCTCGTGGACGGCTCCGTGCCCCCGAGTTGAAACGCGCAATCGACTACCGCGAAAGGGTCGTCCTGGTGGACGGGGCCGTCAAACCTGTTTTGCGCTGTGCCTCCATGCACCGCAACCCCATCACCTGGCCCGCTCTGTATTCCCTGAATCGCCTTCTCCCTCTCGCGGGAGAGACCGGCCTGCTGCGCCTTAATGGATCTTAGCTGCTCCTGCCCTGGCGTTTCTGCTCCCGAGAAAGTCCCCCCTAGGATGCTGGCGGTTCTTATTCCGGTCTCAGGGAGGACCGCCGTATGGAGATCCTCTGCCGAGCCAAGGGCGGCCGCTTGGAACCGGTACATTTGCTCCACCATTGCGGAAATCTCCCTCGAACCGGCCGTGATCTCCTTCGCAGATATGGCGCTTCTCAATACGTCTATCAGGCGTGTCGCCGTCCCGACATTATCCGACCGGTATGCCATACTCTGTGCGTCAGCCCTTTCGGCACTGCCCGATTCTGCTGCATCGGCGGCGGGTTCGAGCTCGCCGGACAATGCCGCCCATTGTTTGGCATCCTGCGCCACGTCCTCGGCTGATCGCCGCAGTAACTGGACGTTGTCCACTAGCCACGAGATGCGCTTGGGTAGAAGTGCCCTCTGTTTGTTCCAAATGTCGTTTATTTCGCCGCACGTCTCGCATAAGAACGCCTGCCATGGGACGAAGAGGCCAAGATGTTGCACTGCTGCTCTAAAGCCAGCGACACCCTTCGTCAGCTTTCAGTTCTCTATTCTGCATTCTTTCCACGGTTTTATTCTTTTGTGTTTTCCCTGCGCAAACCACTGGGTTCGCTGTATTCGCGGGTCTTACATACCTCCTGTGGTAAAAGTCGTCCTCCTCGGCGAAATCCATGCTTAGGTACCCGTCGAAGCAGATGGTCGCATGCTGCCCTGGCCGCCGCAGCGCCTGAACCCACGACCTCGACAGCGGCCAGGAGCTGTCAAGCTCCACCTCTCCCCAAGCAACACCTTGCGCTTTCCGCTTCAACCTAACCACCGACATGTAGTCGAAAAGAGCTAGGCCTTCCAGAAGCCGACCGCGATACGGATAAGCCTGCAGCAACGAGACCCTTTGTCCGCCTTCCCCCAGCAGGACCGTCTCTTCGACTGGTTCTTCTAGGCTCTCCCCGATAGCTGCACGCCGTAGGAGGGGCCACCGTCGTACGATGTGCCAGTAAAGGGTGCACACGTTCAGAAACGTCCAGGCGCTGCTGCTTGTAAACTCCGTGCTATACCCTTAAAAATGGGCCACCACCTCCACCTGCGATAACGCCCGCTCCGTGAAGATCCTGTTGGCTACGCGCAGGAGAAACTGCCGCGTTCGGTTCTCTCGGTCGCCGCTCTCGGTCGAGCGCGACCCGCCATTCGCCTGATCCCCCGTCGTCCCGTCCCCCAGGAGCCGAAACAGTTCTTTGGCTGCCACCACGCGCTTCCACACCGGATCCTCCACTTTGGTGGCATAGTTGGTTATGTAATAAATAAGAGCCAGGCCCTTGCATTTCGTTACGATGAAGGATATGTCGTGGTTGTGTCGTAACCCCACGGCCATCGCCTTATTCCAGCGATTCACCAGGCTGTGGCCGCGCCGAATCCTCAGCAGCCCGTCCTTCGTAAAGCACGTTTTTCCCACCGGTTGCCAAGGCGCCCCGAACCTGCAGAGATTCTGCCGCTTCTCCTGTCTCCTTATAGCGTATTTTACGCACGTGGGGCTATGCGTGTGGATTTGGGTGGCGCCGGCGCAGAAGTTCGCTTCCTCCTCGAATGATGCGGCGAACTGGCCCTTGTTGTCCAGCAAGGACGATATTTCGGCCGTTACCGACCTGCCAGCCCGTACTCCCGCAGATGCCTCTGCGTCGAGGTCCTAATTACTAAACATATTAGCACGTGCTTGTCGACATTCCCCCCACCTCCTTTCTTTCTTTCCCCCCAATTCGTTAGGCAAACCCACCTCCGTAAAAACGCTGTTTATGTATTCGATCACCCGATCCCGGTATGCAGCTTGATCCTCCCTCCGAACATCGCTCATAAGAGTGCTTAGGTGCATGTTTCCCTGGAGCCAAATGAGGCCGTGGAGGTGGAGCGCGCCCCTCTCGTTCGTTTCCACCACCCCGTAGTACTGGCTAACGCGCCCAAACACCGAGTCCTCCCCGATCCTAACGTGATGTTTAAAGAACATGGAGATTTCCCGGTGGAAGAAGATGGCAGAACTCAGGGGATCCGATATCGCGAGTCGAAACCTTTTGTACACTTGATCAAGACTTCTCAGGAACTCCTCGGCTTCGCCCGATTCGCGGGTGCGATATGCCGCGAGCTTGAGCTTGATCGGGTTTGTGATGTCGTTGGGGTTAAGCGTGAACCATATTGCCGGGATGCCGTACCGGATTATAAGGGACTTGATCTTCCGTCGCATGGTTAATCGGCTCTCCCTTGACATTGGCTGACGGTACCCATACAGGGACAGGTTTCTTAACAGCCGATTGACACCATGGTCCGTGGTCTTCCCTGAAGTTTCCAATTCGACTCTCGCGTTCTCAAGTCTCGCGGCGGTTAACGTTTGGATGGCGCGTTCCACGTCTGGGAAATCGCGCTTCCGCACACTAGCCATGCTCACGCGCCGGTTCCTCGATCGGACCCCCATATTAAATATGAGAAAAGCAAGCACGGGATGTGCTGCAAAGCGGCCACCGTGACGTTGGAGTACCAGCTTCGCCCATGTCTCCAGACTCATGTTCCGCGACGACACCAACTCTTGCGCAGCGACTTCCGCATCGACTCCACAAGATACCTCCCCTTCCGCACCCATAACGCATTCCTCGGCCTGCCGAGGACCGCCCCTACCAAACGGAAACAAAGTAGGAAATGTTTTTGCCAAAAACCACGTGTTAAAGGAATCCGCAAAGTCCTGGCCCCGAGAAACCACGATATACGGTTCGGCCGCGCGCCCGCGCCGCACTTCAGCCGATCCTCTCCAGGCCGCTCCGCACGTCTCCTCGCCAGCAACCGTTTCGCCCATGGAATCCACAAGATACCGTAACTTTTCCACGTCCGCAATGTCTGGTCGGCCATCCAGGTCGAACATTCCGGACGATCCGATCTCGTGCACGCTATCGCAGTCGTTGTTAGGCCCACCGCCAGTTTCTTCCATGGAAGCCGCATTATTCCCGGACGGGTCCCCCGAGCTGCTTCGGTCCTCGTCCAATGACGCCATAATTTCCCGGATATCTACCGAGCCCGGGTCTTCAAACCCGCGCTCAGTCGGCGGAACGATATGCGCCGTTTGCGTTTTTTCTTTTGCCGAAGGCTCGTTCCGTTCCAATCGACCGTAGATCTGGGACGGCACGCCATGCCACGGGGTCTCCCAGCGATCCAGTTCCGCAGTGTTAATATTGATGTTAGCATACAAAGGGCTGTTTCCCTTTAGCCACATCAGCGCTTTTTCCACAACACGGCGACGGACCGAGAGCGGCACGGCCAGATCGCTTGGCTCCGGCTTCTCCGGCCCCTGCCATGACACATGGATCTCGTCCATGACCTTCAGCAGCGGATGCGGCAGCACTTTCGTCACGAGTTCTTGTACGTTATTGGGGAATACGGTAATATGCCCCTTAACGTGCCTCGGATATCTGCCGTTCTGCCGGTGTCCATCTGTGATGCTGTACTTGGTGATGAAGCCGTAACACGAGTTGAGCGCGATAAGTTTCTCCTCCACCGGCGTGAGGCACTTCAGCTCGTCGGGAAACATATGCTCGCACCCCAGCCGTGTATGCACCTGCGCTGCCGGAGATAAGGCTCCTCGCCTAAGGTGCCTCATGCAATCTGCGCACCCGCTAATCCTTTCCCCGACAGGGAAGCATCGGATGCATTTGTAAGGAGACCCGTCCCGCTTCTTGATTGAACTTGCCATCCACCATTCCCACTTAACATCCTCCAACTCGGCCCTGCTGTATTTGCGGTAGCAGAACATACACGTAAGGATCGGCAGCGTCCTCGTGTTATGAAACGCCTTGTAAAAGGCCTCAACCGTTTTCACCTTCCTTTCGTGGGGGACAGGTACACACCATTCCTTGCCCTCAGATAGTCGCACCTTTTCGGCAAACTCCTCGTTAAGGACTCGCAGAACGCTAGCGAGATCCTGCGCCTGTTCTTCCTCGTTCCTATTTCGTCGGGTCATGGTCCTCGCGCGCTTTGGCGCCGGCTGGTTAACGTTGCCAAAACCCACTCTTTTCCGTCCCACCTGACGGCGCGGCCCCGCAGAAGCACGGCCCTCCGCCGCATCCTCGGCCTCGCCGGCGATATGGCCCGACGACTCCACTCTCGGCGTCCGTATCCGCTGCCGTCGAGGCTCCGCGCTTCGCCTCGCCACTTCGTACTGCCCCCGCGTCTCCTCGAAAATGTCGGCCGACGTCCGAATGCCTAGTCCAGCCAACACCGAAGTATCCACCCCTCTTCGCGATGCGTCTCTCTCTGCCATCGTCTCTTCGTACTCCCTCCGCGTCTCCTCGAAAACGTCGGCCGACGTCCGAACGCCTACTCTAGCCAGCACCGAAGTGTCCACCGCGCCTCTTCGCGGTGCCTCTCTCTCTGCCCTCATCGCCTCGTTTGTGCCTCGCGCAGCCCCGAAGATTTCTGCCGACGGCCGGATCCCCAGTCCTTTAAGCACTGTCGTATTCGGCCGATCATGCGCCTCGTGCTGGCCGGCGAAACCCGCTGGAAACCGTGCGCCGTCCCCTCGTGGAACCAGAGCTGCCCTGCCGCTCTGTGCCGTCTGAAAAGCTCCAAACAGTCTCCCGGCCTCGCCTGCCGGCTTCCTCCCTGTCCGGCCTGCAATTGCCTTGGCCGTCCCCGGACCCTACCTGCTCCGTGCCGTTTCTGCGCCTCGCCGGCGCGGGACGGAGGCTCCGGGGTCGTCCCTGCAGTCCTCCGCTGGGCCTGCCTCTCTGTCCTAGCCGCTTCATGCTGCCTTTGGCCCTCTTCGAAGATGTCAGCTGACGTTCGGATATTTAATCCGGCGTGCGCCACGTTCTCGCGATTGCGCGCGTCGAGGCGATGGAATCGGTTGAGTGGACTCTCCGTCTCCTTTCTCGGCCCCTGAGGTGGCTGGCTCGGTTCAGTCACATCAACCTCCACAGACACACCACCCTTTAAAACACTCCCTGATTGCTCCTCTTCCTTTCGCACCATAAGCCCGAATTTGTCGAACCCGAAACCGGCCGGCAGATCCGCAACGACCAGCTTCCTGAAAGGCAGGGCGATTCCTTCGCGGTCGTTTTTCTTAACATATGGATCCTTGCGGCGCCAGGCCTTCAGATTTACCAGGTCGTCCGGCTCGATAGGGTCGACCGATTCCTTAACCTTGCGTCGTCCGATTTGCTGGGCTCGTCTGTGAATTAACCTGTTCAACTTTACCACAGCTTCGTCCCAGTCTCTCACCTCGCGAGCCGCCGTCAACAGTTTATTACAAAACCCTACTCCTCGATTCGCCCACTGGTAATATTGAACTTTGTCTTCGCCCCAGATACGCCTCACCGACTTCAGGCCTTCGCGGGCTTTCGATCCTTCCAGCAAATGCCCTCCGGTGGCCTCTCGAGCCGGAGCGGTTTCAACATCACCCTCGCCGGCCTCGCCAAACCCGGCGGCCGGGATCCTGTCCACAGCGTCGTTGGTGGCATCCATAGCTGGATACATCTAGTCGACTTCGTCCAAAGCAACGGCTCTGCGCGCATCTGCAGCGTCGACATCGAATTCGACCAAATCGACGGCGTATGTTATCGGCACTAGAACACCAACCTACGGCCCTCGAAAAAGGCCCTCCAGCCCACCTTGCTTATACTCCCTCCAAAACGCATCGACTACACCATTGC